GAGTGTGAGTCCCTAACTCTTTTCTCAGTGTCATAGGTAAAGAAGCTGATACTTTTTTTTTTTTGGTTTGCTTATGTAGTTATTCTAACAAATCCCTATTTATATACCTGGTGAGATCTGCCTATGAATTTCAGAGCCTGTCAAAGGTTTTAGACTGATAATACTAGAACCCATCTATTTACGGATCAAATCCAGCACAGGCAGTAGCAATGAAAGTTCCTCTGTACTTCATTGCTGTGCCTGTAGCTATGTCTAGACTCCAGAGTTTTGTTGGAAAAACGGCCGTTTTTCCGACAAAACTTGAGTTATGTCCACACTGCAAGTGCGTTTGACAGTAAATCAAAAGAACAGAGGGCTTTTTGCGTAATTAGTAATCCTCATTCTACGAGGAAGAAGCCTTTTTGTGAAAGAGCTCTTCTGCAGAAAAGCGTGTGTGGATGGGGAAGAGGGAGTTTTTTTGGAAGAAGAGGTAAGAGGAAAAGCACTGGCGCCCCGGTGGCCATTCTGTCCATAGCAATCACTGCTTACATGCGAGATAGCGTACAGGCAGTCTGGACACTATCTTTCAAAAAAGCAGATCACTTTTTCGGTGCGCTTTGGCAGTGTGGCCGCTCTCTTTCGCAAGAAGTTTTTTTTGGAAGAGCTTTTCCGAAAAAAGCTTCTTGTGCAAGAAGCCTATAGTCTAGACATAACCTCTGCGCGACATAGAAGCATCTCTTGTACGCAGTAAAGCATAGTGCAGTTCTTTGACAATCTTTCATCACTGAGCTACCCTCCTTTGGGGGCTCATGCCTAAGCTTGCTTAAACAATTGGCTAGCTTAATTGTTGGGGTTTATAGAGAGCATTGACAGTCTACAAAAAGGTGCTAATTGCAGCCCAAAATGCTAGGACTCACTTATCAGACTCTAAGATGACCAAGTAATCAGACACGCCAGGAAAGCATGGCATTGTTAGAACTTAGCTAGACAGAATAAACAAGAGGCTTTTCAAAATTGTAGCCTAAGAGGAGGTTGACTCTAGAGAACAATGAATTTCAAGGAATATTTCTCACGATTCCAACATGAAGAAAAGAAAATGATGGACAATAGGAGAGAACTGATAAATGGTTGCAAAGGAAGACTAGGCAAGTTTATTGTGCTAGTTGGGAATGTCAGTGTGTAGACAACTACATGATTAACCAATAAGCCTGGGCTTATCAATTAATCCTCTTGACTACAGGCATTTCCCCTGCTGTCTCTGTAGCCCCATGCATATTGCTTCTATCTTCCCCCCTCATGCTCTGTGCTGCTGTTTCTGTATCAGAGGCAGCAAGTGGGGGAGAAGTGGGAGCTGGTGCCCAAGGGGAGCCAGCTTTAAGCTCGCTCTCCTGGAGTACCAGATCTGCTCCCCCCAACACGCCCCCCCCCCACTGCTGTCTCCCCAGGGGGGGGGGTCAGCGGGCAGGTAGCAACCTGTGGGGCCGGGGGGGGGGGAAAACCAAGAGGGGCAAAAAAAAAAAAAAAAAAAAAAGTACAAATGGAAGTTAGCTGTGGGGGGAAAAAAAAGTCCCTACTTTAAGTTGTTTTGCTATAAGTCCCAAATTTTTTTTAGAACATATCTTGGACTTATAGCGAGGATAGCCAGTACTCCTCTGAGACTTCTCTTTTACATGTAAGTCAGCTCTCTTCCCCTGCTCAGAGTCTGAAAAGCCTCTTAGCTTTGGACTATCTCTAATTTTAAAAGCATGTTTATTTTTATTGGCTTGTCTTAATGGAGTTGGTGTGGAAAGAATGTAGAATCAGGGATTGGGGGAATTGCCATTTAGGAAAGCAACTTTAGTTTAAGAAAGCATAGAGAGTATGATGGCTTAAGTGCTACTTAGGGGAAAAAAGTTTCCCCTTGAAATGTCAAGTTACTGGTTTATCAGCACAAGAACTGCCTAATACACTAAGGCTGCGTCTAGACTGGCATGATTTTGTGGAAATACTTTTAACAGAAAAGTTTCTCCGTTAAAAGTATTTCTGCAAAAGAGCATCTAGATTGGCCCGGATGCTTTTGCGCAAAAGCATGCGTGCCCAGTATAGACACGCTTTTGCACTAGAAAGCTCAGATGGCCATTTTAGCCATCATGCTTTCTTGCGCAAAAAATTAAGGTGCCTGTCTACACTGGCCCTCTTGCGCAAGTATTCTTGCGCAAGAGGTCTTTTATCCCTGAGTGGGCGCATCAAAGTATTTGCGCAAGAAGCACTAAATTCTTACATTAGAACATCAGTGCTCTTGCGCAAATTCAAGTGGCCAGTGCAGACATCTGGCAAGTTTTTGCGCAAAAGCAATTGCTTTTGCACAAAATCGTGCCAGTCTAGACGCACCCTAACAGGTAAACTCATGAGTGGCCTGAATTTTGTTGTCAGGTAGACATAGCTTGAATGTACAAAGTTTTTGTGCAAAGAAACAAAAACCAACAAACAAAACAGTAAATGAACAGGACAGAGGGCTATTGCTGGTAGAGTTATTCTTCTCCCCACAAGGAATAACTCCTTTTTGTGCTACAGGTCTTGAGCAAAAAGGCATGTGTGGACGCTCTGCAGGAGTTTTTTGTGCAAAAAGAGCCTATCAGAAAAAAACACAGGTGCTCTGATGGCAATTCTGTTAATAGCAATCAGCTTTCTTGTAGAAGAGCACCCATACAGTGTGGACACTCTCTTGCGATGCACTTTTGAGGTATGGATGTGCTTTTGCACAAGACGTTTTTGCAGAAGATCTCTTCCAAAAAAAAGCTTCTTGTGCAAAAACCCTGCAGTGTAGACAAAGCCTCAGGGTGCGTCTAGACTGGCAAGATTTTGCGCAAAAGCATTTGCTTTTGCACAAAAACTTGCCAGCTGTCTACACTGGCCGCTTGAATTTGCACAAGAGCACTGACTTTGCAATGTACAAAATTAGTGCTTCTTGCGCAAATACTTTCATGTTCCCACTTGGGAAAAAGCCCTCTTGTGCAAGAATACTTGCGCAAGAGGGCCAGTGTAGACAGGGAAGAACTGTTTTGCGCAAAAAAGCCCCGATCGCTAAAATGGTGATTGGGGCTTTCTTGCGCAAAATTGCATCTAGAGTGGCCACGGATGCTTTTGCGCAAAAGCACTTTTTTTGCACAAAAGCATCCGTGCCAATCTAGACGCGCTTTTGCGGAAATACTTTTAACGGAAAAACTTTTCCATTAAGTATTTCCACAAAATCATGCCAGTCTAGACGCAGCCTCAGTGTTTTGGACCACGTTCTTCTTTTTCATCTGAGTCTTGACACTGAGCACTCCTCTTCTAGCTGTAGGCTAAGAACAATCTTAATCAGTTAAACATGCAGAATTCAACAGTTGCGCAACTCCCTCTGCCTCTCCCCCGGACCAGTCACTACTGAGGATTGGACCTATAGGTGTATTTACCCTTCCTGGAGTTTGTGTTTGGGATCTGAGCATACTGACCTATTTAGGTTTATACATTAGAACTTTATTTTTCAAATGTTCCTTTTAAACTGGCTTTACTCAGCTCCTATGAGAAACATCTTTAAACAGCTTTCATAGTTGGATTACTATCCTGTCAATTATAGTTCAATGGGCATGAGTACAGATGTTCGCTATTTTTGTAATTTGTCACATCAGCAAGTTTAAGTATTGAGTTCTGGTGTATTCTCAAGGCAAGTATTGAGAAGACACTCTTGTGTGCATTGTTTTCCAATCTGTTTGAAATAACCTTTAACTTCATGCTAAGCTGGAGTTGGCTTAGATCACTGAAAAAGTTTACTGTGGCAATATTGAAAACTTACAAAGGGCAGAAGAGTCCAGGATATAGGAGACAGGATTCTCTAATGTAGGGTAGGGGGGAGACATGAGGACTTGTTCTTAATTTGGCTACTGAACTGAGAGAGCTTTAACTTCATCTTTCTGCCTCTTCTGGCAGAGACTCTTTCACTGTGCCACTTTCACTCTCCTCAGTCTTGTCTGGGCATAGCTAATGGCTGAAAGGTGCTCATGACAGGATTCAAATGGTATAGCATTTCAGTCTAGTTGATGAACTCAGGCTCTCTACCTCTGATCCTGTATGCAGCTGTAAAAAGTCACATAACCTGCTATAACTTGAGGTACATTCAACACTGAGGTTTTCATACTTCATGTTTTAAAAACAAATCGCTGGTCTCTTACATAAGCCAAAAGCCTTTAATTTTTTCCAGCAGCATTCATTTAACATGATACAAAAATACATACTGTTTACAGAATACAAACAAAACCAACAGGTCTGCCAGGGTTTGTGCAACATCACTAGTTCTATACGCTGTCACTTCTTAGCAATGCATACTTGGTTGTCCTGGAACAATGGTCACTAAGACAGAATATCCAAATCAGTTTGATGTACAGTTTGCAGAAGCTGTTTTTTCTGAGAACTCAGGGTATTTTACTACTTGGTAGAGTACAGGAAAAGCCAAGAGGGGAAAAAAATGCTGTAAGTGAGCTAGAAGCATACCTAACAAACATGCTAGTATTCCAGACTTGCTTCTTGCTTTTAGTGTGATCTAGAAGGAGGGGGAGAGTATAACTTGTAAGGTAAGACTTATTTCCCTCCTGCTGTGGAACTGTTCTTTAGGTTTATAAATATTTTCAAAGGATGATAATCTAAAGCAGTAAAAGTCACTTCCTCAGTACATTTGGTACCTCACTAGTTTCATAGATGAATCACAGCATGAGCTAGTGGGCCAAAGTCTAAGCTCAGTTATAGCTATAGGCTAGTGCTAATATTTCCATTTATTTTAGGTAATAGAGCAGAGTTTGGTCCATTCTTTCTTCCTCTCAACAATTCACCCTCCCCCTTCTGTG